TAAACTCAATTTAAAAAAAAAAAAAAAAAAAGAAATGTCTTTTCCAAGGAACCCTTCTTCACTATTGGTGGAAGTGTAGACTGGTGCAACCACTGTGGAAATTAGTGTGGGGATTTCCTCAAAAAACTAAAACTAGAGGTTCCATTTGACCCAGCTATTAAGAAGGATAAACTTGAGACATTTCTAGCTAAATGGATGCACCTTGAGACCATACTCTTAAGTGATATAAATTGGATACACATGTTTAAATATCACAGTGTTTCTCTAGTGTGAGAAACCGAAAATAAATAAGAACTAAAATGGATAATAGATATTGAGAAATGGGAAGAAAATGTTCAAATGGAAAAGGGAATAAGGGAGGAGGGAGGGGGAAAGGAAGGCAGGGACAAGGGAAAAAAAAGTGAAGATGGAAGGAAAATATGGAAACAAAGCTTTCTTACCTAGGGCGGGGAGGGGGCTTGAGGGGAGGGGGGAATGGGAAAAAAGGAGCAGGATGTACCATGCACAGGTACAAAAAAAAAATCTTTTCCCTCCAGGGAAATACAGGTAGTCAGAGCTCGTTCAAATGAGAGAGCAGCCATGCAGTCCCCTGCTCTTTATGCACGAGGACTCCAGAAATGTGATCTTTCTGTCTGGAGGGTGGGGTGGGGCTGCTGGGTGCCAGCTGGAAGGATAGCAGGCTGAGAGATTTAGGGTTACAGATGGAAGCCTGGCTGTCCCATTTCCCAGCAGCATGGCTTTCAGCAAATTACTTATCTTTGTGCCTCTGTGTCCTCATGTATGAAGTTCCTTCCTCATGGTGGTTGGGAGGATTCTATGGCATAATCTGCATGGCATGCTCTGCACACACCAGGTGGTCAGCTCTCCAGTCCCACCCCTGTCCAGCTGCCCCCTAAGCTGTTCCCATAAGAGGCACAGAGGCTTTTCCTAGCAAGCTCAGAATGGAAGCTCAGACTTGCAGTTCTCTGATGGCATGGTTTTACCTTGTCACGCATGAGTGAAAGTTACTAGGATTACATCTTGCAAATCATGTGCATGTGCTCAAGCTCAGAGGTTGTTTTGGACCAAAAAATGCACCTGGCTGGTTTTGCCCATAGCATTTCTCACCTTTGGGAAGGTTACTGCCTCCATACTGGGCAGGACCCTGTTTCCAGGGAGTGTAGAGCCCTCTGGAGGGCACCATATCTTGGGTGTTATCTCTCCTCAGAACCAAGGGAGCTTCCCTGCCTGGGCCTGCTGGGGTCGCCATTCTGTGATGAAGGGATAGATGGGTCCTTGTACTGACCCTGTCACTGTGGCTTGTGGTAGGCTCCATTTGCAAGATGGAAACATGATTACACAGCAGTTACCTGCCTGAGCAAATCAAAGTAGGGTGAGTAAAGTGTAGAGTAGTATCAGATACGCCAGAGATGGGCTGTGGGAATTCTTTTGGAGAAGTTTCTGGCCAGGGACAGGTTTTTTAGGGTTGAGTCAGTCCTGGAGTGTGTGTGTGAGACCCTTGGAGAATGGTAGAAGGCCCACTGCTTCTCTGCAACCACTGGACACTGCATACAGGAGGTTCTGATTCAGTAGTCTGGGTGCTGCTCAAGAATCTGCATCTTGACCTACTCTGCAGTGATACCGGTAGGACCACTGGGGTTAGAGGATAGAAGGAGGCCAGCCTCCAAGGGAAGCAGCAGCAAAGAGCAGAGCTGTGTCCCAATCCCCTTCCAGTGCCTGGGCCAGAGGTCAAGACTCTGGCCTCTCAGGAACTGAAGTGTCACACCTGCCATCTTACAGGGGCCTTTAGGCCCTGTACCCTAACTGAGGGAGCCCCTATCTTATAGGCCTCCCTATAAGGCTGTGTTCAGCCTCTTTGATTCTCAAGGCAGTAAGGCTCCTACTCTGAGCCCTGCTACCTCTCACAGCCCTGGGGAGTATCAGACAGATTTGTGCATGTGAAAAAGCCCAGAAACCTGGGCGGTAATAGAAATGTCAGAACTGTGGTCACTTGTTGTTTCTGAAGGCCCAACTCGTTCTTATCTTTCTTCCACAAAAGACAGTCCCACCCAAACACCAGAAGCCCATGTTTTGGGTCTGTTTGTGTTTTTGCTGAGGCTCAGCTTGTTCATCTTATTCTCCTTGGAAAGCTAAGGACTAAGGATCAGCCCAGAGATAGGCCTCTCCTGGCCCAGGGACACCAAGTGGGTTAGTGAGGTGGCCCTGAGGCGAGGCTGCAGAGGTAATCAGGAGCCTGTGGTGAACTGAGGATATCTGGTGCACTCACCTGGTCTTACCTCAGCTGAGATTCACTGTCCCAGCCCCGGGTCCTGCTGTTATCAGCTCATAATCATCGTCTCAGCCCTGTATCTGGATTAACTGTGAGGGAACTCAATTAGGCAAACCACTTTCTTCACTTGGCTTAAAGAATAACAAGATTAGCTGTGCCCTTTTTGGACTTTGGGAGCTCCACTGGCCCCAGAGGACCTCGCTGGAAGCAGTGCTGTGCAGTTAGCACTTGGGGAATGGCCCAGGTAACTGTGGCCTATGTGGATGGCCTTGGAGCCAGGCCCAGCAATTATTCCTCTCTGAGAAGGGGCTCAAAACTTTCTATAGTGGCAGACTGAGGCGTCCACTCCAGGCACAGCTGGACTGCCTAGTGCTCTGGGCACAGTGTCCTCCCTGTCACAGGAGCTATGTGTTCTTGGGAAGGTGGCTTCATCTCTCTGAAGCTCAGCATCCTTGCCTGGAAAATGAACATCACAACATGTAGCTCTGGAGTCCTGGAGGAACTCTTGCTTACTGCTGCCCAGTCCAGGTCCAGCTGACTCCATGCTCAGTCAGTGGCCTCCTCTGTATCTAAGTAGCTGGGTTCAGAGATCAGACCCCTGGGGATGAAGGCCCGCAGCATCTCAGTCTTCGCACACCCCCACTGCAGCAGTTTGCGGTCCATGGGCCTCCTGAGATCCTCCTGTGTGGGAGCTGGGCTTCCCTTAACTGCCTGTGGAGGTGGGTGCACCCTCACCTGGGTGAGCTCCTTCCCAGGCACGAGCAGCCTTGGTCTCTGGGACCATGGAACTAGGGAAGTCAGAAGTCTGAGCTGCGGATCAGGAGCCTCAGATGACACAAGGTGTCTTGGCAGGGATCTGGGAGGTAACACTCAGCCTAGTGCCTGTCCCTCACAGCACTCCATGCAAAGCAGGGTTGAGCATAACCCTACTGACGTCAGCAGCCATCCGGTGGGTAGGACTGACCAGTCAGGTACACCTGCAGCCCAGAGCTCCCTCCATTGGTCTGTACCCCTTCCAGCTGAGCACGGAGCCCTCAGTGTCAGGATTTATGAGCTGAGCAGGACCTGGACACTGACACCAGCACCTGTGGTTGGAAAGTGGAAAGAGGATAGATAAGTACAAGGCAGTGGACTCACCTCTTGCCCACTGTGTATTTTTAATTGATGAACATTTATTGAGTACCTGCTGTATGATATGAAGTTCTTAGAGAATGCTCGAGGAGACCCGGGCCCTCGTCAGTGATACTTGTGCCATGTGCCAGCTGAGTCCACTCGGGATGCCCTGCCCTCTCCCACATTATCATCCCTTGCTGCCTCACTATAGGGAGCGAGGTGTGCTTCCCTGCCCCCAGCCCCACCTGGATGCTGCCAACACTGGACAAGTTGTGGCCCCTTCGTTTTGCTGGTTGCTTCTAGTCTCTGCTCAGGCTTCCATGATGGGGCTCTGTCCCCTCAGCCTTGTCTCTTGCTGTCCTGTGGGGCACTGCCTACTGTTCCTGGGCTGTCATAGGCCCGGGCAGTCTCTTGAGTACAGCAGCCCAGGACCCCTCCTGCCTGCCTGCTGGGAGATTTGGACAGCAGTGGCTGAGTGGGATGCAGGGTCTCCAGAAGGGTTTGGTAGGACACAGAGTGTAGAGTCCCCAAGTGGGTTCCCCCAGCCTCAGTGCAAGGCCATGCCCAGAATGAGGATGACAGCCTCCCCCTTGCTTTGCAATCCCTTGAGCAGCTCACCTGGCCAGTCGGTGGAACACAGGCTCAGCTGGAAGCAGAAGGAAGTGGATGCAGCCTGGCTGAGTGTTTGCCACAACTCTGTCCAGCATGGCACTGAACAGCCCTCTGCTCTATTCGGGGGAATGTTGGGACCCCAGATGTGAGGTGGACACACTATGGAACCCTCTGCAGCCTGCTAAGGACCAGCCTGTGATTGACAGGACACCTTGCCACATTGCCGTGTGATTGCATTTCTAGGCCATCCTCGAAATGGCGAAACAAAAGGGTCAGAGCACAGGCCAGCAACAGGTGTGGAGGGCCGGGCTGCTCGGGGGGTGTTTATAGGAACAGACATGTTCCTACCCTTTCCTCATTGGTGGTGTCCACATGACTGTGCATTAGTCAAAACTCAGTACTACACATTTAAAAGCGTACAATTTTACTTTGTGAATTTTGCATCAATAGATCTGACCTACATTTTTTTAGACTCTCCCACCTAATCCAAACTTTTTTTTTTAAATAAAAAACAAAAAAACCCAAACAAAAGCGAAACTAAACTGCCTGACCGTAGACACACCTAGCATTGTGATGTTGACATGGTAGTGAATGTCGCAGCTTGCACCCACCTGCGAAGCCCATGAAAGGCCTGCCTGGAAACTCAGCTCAGCACTCTGGGCAGCCCATGTATCCAGACAACCACTCTGCTGTTCACTAAATACTTTCAAATTTCCTCTCCAAGGCAGGCTGAAGTCCATGTAAATATTGACCAAAGAGGGTGGCCCATGGTGACACTATATTTGGTTAATAGTGGAAGAGTCATCCCTGGGTTATTTTTCCAGTAGCTTTGAACAGGTGGGCCTTGTTTCATTTAAAAGAAAAAGAAAAATCTGAAACAGCTGTGCATAAATCAAGCCAGATAAATATAGTAGAAAAGCCCATAAATTGAAATGAATCTCAGAGTGAACTTTTTGACAAAGCAGATAGCTTTCCTTTCCCCCTTATTGTATTTATTAAGGAAATTTAAAAAATATGTATTTGATTTGCTTCAGGGAGGATTGCAGCTACAACGGTGCACAGTCCTGCCTTGTCCTAGCCTGGGGCTCTCAGCCCATGGGCGGGGCTGTCTTCTCTAGGAGGTTCACAGTACGTTGACTGAGTGATCGAGTCTCTAGGCATCTTCTTGTCAGGGTAGAAACAGGCACGCACCTCTGTAGCAGGACTAGGCCATGGTCTGGTGCTCTACTGCATGCAGAAAGTGGGAGACCTGGGTGGTAGTCAGATGGGTTTGCCCTTTGTGCCCTAGCAGCCAAATTAGCCCTGCCTGTTTGCCAGCTGACCACACTCTGGCCCTTTCTGCTCAGATCTTCCCTAAAGGTGGCAGGTGAGACACAAGAAAGAGGCCCCACCCTAGTCACGGCACTATGATCATCTTCCATGTCAACAAACACCCTCTGAGTCACCTGGAAGGCTGGGTGACATAAGGACATTACTGACCCTATAGCTGGTGCCAGGACCTGTGCAAAGCTTACATGGCACTCAGGGGACCAAGGCCCAGCACGAGTAAGTGGCTCGTCCACAGTTACCCGATAGGAAGCGGGATGAGGGTATCGACTCAGGGGCCGGTCTTGCCCACCCGGCCCATTCCAAGGTCAAGTGCCTGGATCAAGCCTCCTGGATGCTTCACCTTGTCTGCCTTGCCTAGCCCCAGGCTATCTTCTTTCTCCCACCCTATCTCCCTACCTGTTTTCTCCCAAAAGACAAATATCAGGGACAGAAGAGGTAGCCATGACACAGAGTGTGACTGGTGGACAGGTGGCATTCCAAGCAATGATCCTGCCTGTGGCTAGCGTTCGAAAGGTTGCTGGTACAGTGTGGATTTGGATCAGAGGCCAGTGTATCAGGTGGAGCTATAGCTTTCTAGGGTCAAGTGGCCAAATGGCTCCTGTCATTCCTGGGCTGTGGTCACCCTATGGGAGGGAGTGGACGTACAGTGGCAGTATCTGCTCTTGTTGGGGAGTCTCAGAAGCAGGGGAAGGGCAAGGCAAGGGAGCCAGGCCTAGGCCCAGGGTCTTCATCATGGGAGCAGGGCTGGGGTCATGGGGCTCTGCATTGGAGCGGGTCTCTAAGGGTGCCATCCCCTTCTTGCCTGGCCCAACATTTGGGACATAGCATCTTTACAAGCTGGGGCCCAGAGACATCTGGAGGGACATAGAGAAAGGAGCCAGTGCGCTGTCATTGCCTTAAACCTTCCTACGTGTCACATGGCCAACCCTGCTTGGCTTATGAAGGCACCTGAAGTGGGGCTGACCTGCAGAGTGGGGCCACTCATCCCTGGACTGCCTGGGTCTGGCTCTAGCACCTGCTTTGGGTGCATTTCCCAGGGATCAGGGGGATCCTGCTTCTTCTTCTTCTTCTTTTTTTTTTTTAGTACTGGGGATTGAACTGCTTTTTCACTTTCTGTTATGAAATAGCATACAGAACTTGGACAATATAATGACTCCTCCACCACTGTGCCCATTACTCAGCATAGTAGTCAGCTTCCCATAGCTGGAGTAAGATACCTGATACCCACAAATTAAAGAGAAGTTTATTTTGGTTCATGGTTTCAGAGAGTTCAGTCCACGGTCAGTTGGCTTGAAGGCAGGAACATCATGGCAGAAGGGGATGGTGGAGCGCTTCATGCATGGCTGGATGTATGGATACACAGGTGGGTGGATGGATGGGTGGAAGGGTAGGTGGACAGGTGTGTGGATGAATGAATGAGTAAACGAATGGGTGATGTGGAGGGAGATTTCTCACAGCTAGAGTGATGAAGTGCTTTGGATATGTTGATGGGCACACAACTGGAGATTTTAGGAGTGTGAGTTTGCTGTACTGTACCCACTGCAGGCTGTGCTAATGTCTGGCATGTGTGGCAAGGCAGCACAACTCCGTGGCAGGCACCTCATGCAACCTTTCCACAGAAGCCTCCAGGAGCCCAGCAGTTCACATAAGTGAGGTTATCAGTTTACATAAATGAAGGTGTCAGTCACTGTTATTCTACCAGATACCTGAGATAATCCACTGACAAAGAGAAAAGATGTGTTTTGCTCAAAGTTTTGTAGCTTTCAGTCCATGGTTTGGTGGCCCTGTTAGCTTTGGGTCGGTGGCGGTACATCTTGGCCTGAGTGTGTGGTAGAGAAAAATCACTCATCTCATGGAAGGGAAGTGAAAGAAAGGGGAAAAAAATGGCTGAAGGTCCCACAATCCCCTATGAGGGTGCACCCCCAAAGATGTCACATCTTCCTCACTTCCGAGAGGCCCAGCACTTCCCAGTAGTGCCACAGTGGAGACCAAGCCTTTAACACATGGTTCTTTGGGGGCACCAGGTTCAAACTGTAATGTCCAGAAGGACAGGGAGGCTTCTCCTGCCTCTGCTTCAAGGGCTGACTGTCTAACCATGGCCATTAGAGCCTGGACAGTGTGGTAGGCCCACTAGTGTCTCGTAAAGATGTTTCATACAAACTGGAAGTCTGAGTTTTAATGTGAGAATGCAGAATGTTTAATCATCGGGTTGAGTCTGTATGCATGTGAGGGTGGGGGATCAAACTCGGGGCTTCAGTCATGCTAGGCAAGTGCTCTACCACTGAGCAGCATCCCCAGCCATAGATATATTTTACAATGCTTGGAATTTGGCTAAAACACATCTTGAGCTACCAGTTGTGAGCCTATTGGAGACCAAGGATCTAGTCCCTGGGGTTGCCCAGAGTAGAGCCCTGGAAAGTAGAGCCAGGAAGGGGCAGACCTGTCTCCTCTGAGGCCAGGCTGGCACTGTCACCTGAGGGAGACCAGAGCAATTCAGACACTGTCCTTGTTCTTGGAGCTTCGGACCCAAAGAAGAGGTGGGGCATTCACACCCTTGGGCGTGATGCCTGTCCATCATCTGCTCAGATTACTGGGAAGGGGATGAGGAAATGCGTTTTGTATTCTCTGGCTGGCTCAGTTGTGGGAGGGGGCATATCAAATGATCATTCAACTGACTGTGGCAGTCACCTCCAGGATGCTTCCCTGGACTTCTACCCATTCCTGTTTCCTCCTGCTCTCCCTGCCTCTGTCTTCACTCTTCTGTCCTGGAGTAGAGCCTGTGCAAGAGATCTGAAAAATAGCAAAGAAAATGGATCACCATGTGGAAATAGGGCCTGTCCGTGACAGAGCTAAGGTGGTGATCCCCGGTCAGGGATTTCTCCTCTCCACACAAGGTTGCCAGGGAAAACCAAAGTCCAGGGCCCCAGGGAAATATGCCTTCAGGTAAACAGCAAGATTTTTGTTTTGTTTTTTAAGTATGAGAAGTCCCATATGACAACTGGAATAACCTAACCTTAATGTTGTGTTTTCTGTCATTCCAATTTACCCGGGCATTCTGTATTTGCCAGGTGGTGTGGGTACAAGATGGAATTCTGGAAATCTGGAAGATGAGCAAAACCAGGAGCAGAAGCCAGTCATGCTGCCTCCCCACTCACTGAGGGCACTTGCATCACCCATGCCTGGCCCCTCGCAACCACCCTGGGCATCACGCTTGCAACCTGTTTCCGGCCCCTTAATTGAATGAAGTGTGCAGCCGGGTGCCCGCAGAGGGTGGTGAGGCTGTCAGGCAGGGAGAGAAATTACTCCCAGATTCAGGGAGTGGAGTTGGCTGCTGACTTATTTATTGATTGACTTGAAATAACAGCAATCGAATCACAGCCAGGCAGGGGTAGAGTGGCCAGGCCTTCCACTATGTTATGATGCACGCATTTTAAATGTACAGTTGCTCACTCCTGACAGAGGCCTGCATCTTTGTCACCATACCCTAACCAAGATTGTGAACACTTCCATCTTCCACAAGTCCTGTCCGGCTCTTCCTGTCCCATATTCCCCCTTCCCCACAACCTCTGTCCCAAAATGCAGGTGGACAATGCTTTGTTCTCTGACTCAGCAGGTACTGACTTTTATTTTCCCCGTAAAAAAATGGCTGGGGATTGAATCCAAGACCTTTCATATGGCAAGCATTCACCACTGAGTCACACCTCTACTCTCTGGTACTGGGTTTCTGAAGGGATGAAGTCACACTCTAGGAGATAGAATGTGAGCACCTCAGAGATCACCAACCTTGCCTTCCTCATTCTGCAGATGGGAAATGGTGCTGAGAGAGAAACTGGCTCCCTTGAGGGGGGAGGATAAGTTGGGCAGAGGGGGCATAGCACCCGGCCCTGACTTCACTGTGATGTGGGTCTGCTAGGAGGGAGGGTCGCACATCCCTCAGTTACAGGGATGTGATAGCTTCATTGTCCTGAAAGTGTTACCTTATCAGCCAGAAGGGAAACGCCAGTGGACCCTGAAGGTGAGGTATGATCAGGCTGGTGGAACATGGTGAGCCAGTGTTGGCTCATTTGAAAAGCAAGTAGGCTAATTGGCCTTGGTGGATAGAAAGAGCTTGGGGTGGGAGGCCAACAGGTTGCTCTACCATGGCTCTGTCTGGCCCCAGGACCTTGGAAGTCACCCCGAGGTCTCATCTCCACATTTGTGAATGGGGTTAGTACCTTCCACTCTCCTGGCTTGTTTGGAGAACATGTGAACTCAAGCATAAGCACTGTGAAATTGTAAATGCTAGATTGATGGTTGTTATTTTTATTAATAGTATGTTGTCCTGGAGAAGTTGACCTCAGAGTTTTTGAATAGTCACTGACTCTTGCTCTCCTCCTGACCTCCTTCTCTAGACTTCACTAATGCTAATCCAGTCCAGGCTCCAGGTGGTTGCCATGCTGTCTCCTCTGGCTCAGGCGCATCTGATGGGCAAGGCACTTTGGGAAGCCTCTCTGCTGCTTGGGAGGGTGCTCATGTCTTCTGGGGTTCTCCAGAGGGAATCCCACAAGTTACTCTGACACCACTCCTGATCTAGAGCTAGTCGGCCTAGCTGCCTGTGCTCAGGGGCGGCAGGTACCCAGGCAGGAACTGAGTCTTAGTGGACTCGGCCCTTTGAGGGCAGGCCTGGCTCTTTATGCATTTTCAGAGCCGCAGCAGCACTTGACAATGATGCCCCACACTCCAGTGGGCACTAGGACAAGGTTGGTTGATTTGGATTAATCTTAAATGACACAAATAAGTGGCACACCAAAATAAAAAGCTTCTGCACATCAAAGGATATTATTAACAAAGCAAAGAGAAAATGCATAGAATGGGAGAATATAGATCATGTATCTAATAGACTTTTAATACCTTGAATATATAAAGAATGCCTACAACTCAACAATAATAAGGTAATAAAACCAATTTTTAAAATGGGCAAAGGACATTTTTCCAAGTTATTTCTCCAGAGAAAGTGTATAAATGGCAATGAGTGTAAAAAGATATTCAACCTCAGTCAACGGAGAAAGGCAAATGAAAGCCACAAGTGCCACTCCATGCCTGCTAGGATGGCTATATTTTAAAAAGTAGAAAATAACAAGTGTTAGAGAGGATGTAGAGAAACCAGACTCCTTGTGCCTTACTGGTGGGAATGTAAAACGACACAGCTACTGTGAAAAACATTTGACAGTTCCGCAGTAAATTAAAAACAGACTTAGCATATGACTTAGCAGTCCCATTCCTAAGTATATACCCAAGAGAAATGAAAACACATAACACGGGTCCACACAGAATTTGGACCTGCATGTTCACGGCAGCATTTACTGATGATAGCCAAATAAACCCAAATGTCCAACAGCAGCTGATGGAGACAGCATGTGAAATCTTGATATAATGTAATAATAATCAGCCCCCAAAGAATATGAGGTGCATTTACGTGCTATGATGTGGATGAATCTTGAGAGCATTATGCAAAGTGAAGGGAGCCAGACACGAAAGGCTACATATTGCATGATCTGTTTATGAAACATTCCAGAATAGCAGATCCATAGAGACAGCAGACTGGTGGTTGCCAGGGCCTGGGGTGTAGAAATGGGCAGTGACAGAGTTTTCTTTGTGGTAGTGGAAGTATTCTGGAATGAGGTCATAATAATGATTACACAACTAAAAATTATTTTGAGTTCTATATAAAATTTTAAAAAAATGAAGTGGGGCCGGGGATTTAGCCCAGTGGTGCTGCCGCCTGCCTTACAAGTTTGATCCCTGAAACAAAGGGAAAAGAAAAAAAAAAAAAAGAAAAAGAATCGACTTGAGGTCTGTGGCCCTGGGCCTGGCTGTGCCCCCTGCAGGCTAGATTGTGTGGACTCCAGCACCCTGCTCCTCTCCCAGCCCCTCTAGTTCTTCTCTTCCTCCTTCTGAGAGAGGATGAGCTTTCCACTTGGTCCACGGTCCACAGAGCCCATCTGCCCAGATAGGTTAAAGGGCTATTTATTTTCCAGGACAGCTGGCAGCTGTGCCAACAGCCGACTGAAGGGAAGGCCCATGAAGGAGCTCCCCCCTTCTGGAACACACCTAACCCACCCTGCCCTTGGTGCCACTTCCCAGGAGTTCTGAGGACAGGCCTAGGGCGGGCTCTCGGATTCGCTCAGCAGCTGCCTCCTGAGAGATGAAGGCAGTGGCCTAGGGCCAACACTCTAGGACCTGGGGCTGGTGACCACTCCCTGGTTGTTTAACTTCTGGGGAAACAGGGCTGGGTGCCAGATAGAATCCTTGGGGACTGGGATGGCGACAGACAAGCACCCTCTGGCTCTGATATCCCCAGGACTACAGTATCAGGGTCCCTAGGACTGTTGTCTCAGCACTTGAGGAGGCCTTCATGATCCTTCCTAACAGATGCTCCTCTACAACATACGAGGGAGTCACATCCTAATAAGCCCATTGTAAATTGAAAGCAAGTCTATGCATTTAACAGGCTTAACCTACTAACATCATAGCCCAGCCTTGCTGGCCTTAAACATGCTCAGAACACTCATATTTGCCCACAGAATCATCCAACAAAGTGTTTTATCAGGAAGTATTGAATGGCTCATATATTCACAAAAGGCTGGCCACACAGCAGTGCAGAGATTCCGTTGTTTGCCCTTGTGATCTCAGGGCTGACCTAGAGCTGGCGCTTGCTGCCTAGCATCATGAAGATGCCTATACCACAACTGGCCTAGGAAAACTTTTAAAATACAGATTCCACTGAAAGCATATTTATTTTGTACTGTCATAAAGTTGAGAATTTTTAAGTTGAAGCACACCATGAGTTGGGGGCTATCTCCATATGCACATACACATAGGTATGGATTTTCAGGGCTTTCAAAGGTGACCCGCTCACATCACTAGAACCCAAGAGTGAGTGTGTCATTCTGCACCCTTCTTGCCCACCCTCTCTCTCCTTCCTCTCACCTGTACATCCATCCATCCCTGGGCCAAGAGCCACAGTGGAAGCCCCCCAGGGAGGTATGCAGCCTGGCTGGAACATGACGGCAAGGAGCCAGGGGCCAGGGAGCTACTGAAGAGGCCTGAGAGCTACCTGCCCTCTTCTCTCCACTGGTAGCTGCTGGATGTGGAAGTCCCAAACATGATTATTCGGTAAAAATAAAAGGCTTCTTTGTCTAAGAATTACACAATTGGAAGTCGGTGCCTTGGGAGGGCTTGGACGGGGCACTGGTTGGGGTGAGGGGCTTCCCTTCTTTTGTTTCGCCCTGGGGTGGACAGTGGTGGTGGGAGCAGGTCCGGACCTGGGCTGCGCTTGTGGTGGCTGCCACGCTTCAGGCCTTTGGTGTTCCTCGCATCCCACTTCTTATCTGCTGGGGCCCTTTTGGAATGGTGTGAAGGCACCCTTTTGGCTTTTGGAATGACTTCTTCATGTGCTGGTCTAGAATAGTGGTGGCAAGCCTGTGTCACATGTGCTGCAGTGAGCACGCAGAGCCCTCTCTGTGACGATCTCACAAGTTGTGTGGTTTGTTTTTTTTTTTTTTTTTTAAACTAAAACCTTAACATTCAAGTTTAATTGCAGTGTTGGCATTTTGCAATACATAACTGAGTTTTGGGTTGTAGTATGGGCAGTCAGTCTCTAAGAGCTTCACCATCACTGGTCTAGAGCCGTGCTCCTCCATGAGCTCATGGTTATTTGGTTGGCACTTGCTTCTCACAGGCCCTGGTCCATCCAAACTGGACCAGGCGGGTGTGGAAGTCCCTAAGAGCTGGCTGGAGGTGGAACTGGCTGCTGGAGGTGACATGGCAGGTGTCCCGTGTGGCTCTTCCTTGGCACTGAGAGCTTGATCCTGGGGACACAGACTCGCTCCCCTCATCCTGCCCCAACTCGCCTGCACATTTAACATCTCACTCTCTTCTCTCTGCCTGGTGCAGGTTGCAAGATGGGAGCAGAGAACCCGCAAACTGAGCAGCACCTTCAGATCCCCACACTTGGCGTGCTACTCTCTGGGTGGCGTTATTCTGCTGCTGAATGTCTTACGTTCACACTGGTAAGCCTCCAGGCTGGCCTGTTCACACGGGCCGCTGTCACTGAGAACACACAGTCCCGTAAGTGGACAGCTGCATCGGGCTCACTGGAATGTAGCAAACACACTGTCGACTCCACAGGGAACCCTGTTCTCAAAGCTCTCTGACCATAGCAAGCCACCTGACCTCTCCGTCAGCAGGAGAGTCCTCATGACCTCAGGAAGGTAACAGTGAGTGGGACAGTTCTACTGCACAAAGGGGTGAGGCCAGGAGCAGCAGAGGGGACAACACCTGGGTGGCTTCTGTGCTCACATTTCCAGATCCTTCTCCAAGAGGTGCCAGGACAGGGGGCAGATGCCCCACAGCCAGGACCACACTGACCAGAGGCCCAGGCTTGACCCAGTGTCTAAGAATCACTTTGTCTTTCTGTGGTCTAGGGACATGTTACCTTCTTGCCATCAAAGAAAAAGGCCAGACTGGATCTAGTTGATGAAGATCAGGCCTGGGCCAGGCCAGGCCCTCCTGCACAGCAGGGATGATAGCGGAGTGGAGTTATTGGACAAAGACAGAGCTCACTGTGGCTCTGGCACCCTCTAGGCCTGAAGTCCACATCATTGCTCCCGTCTCTCCCCAAACCCGACTCTGTGAAAGCCACTGACAGCCCAGGGGCTGAATGTGGCCCAAATGAAGAAGTAGCAGGGTATGGTGGTAGATGCCTGTAATCCCAGTACTCTGGGCAGCTGAGTCAGGAGGGTGTCAAGTTTGAGCCCAGCGTGGGCAGCTTAGCAACCTAGCATGGCCCTGTTTCAAAATTTAAAAAAATAAATAAAGGGATACTCAGGGCAAAGCCCTGGGTTCAATTTCCATTACTGCAAACCAACAACAAAAACATGAGGAAATGGCCTGGGGAATCCTGCCTAGACAGTTTAGACATGCTGGGGGCTGCTTTGCAGCTACTCCCTTGGATAAGGTGTGCGTGACTGGTCTGGCCTTCCTCACTCTCCTCGGCCTACCTGGTTCTGCAGGTCCAGGGTACACACCTGAAGTGACCTGCTTGATGCTCACTGCCTGGTGGCTGGTGGGTGGGAAGCTGTGGCCAAGACCCTCACACTCAGATCCTGGGAGGACATGGCTCAGGCTTCCCTCCCCATGACCAGGACACCCTCTCTGACTTTAACATCTGGGCTTGGCCTTTGTGTGAGCCAGGGGCATGGTGGGGCAGAAGCAGGGTCCTATGTGGTCAGCCTCCCTGCTGGACCTTGACTTGTGGCCTGTTCCTCTTCACGGCTCAGCCTGCGGCTGCCTGCCATCTCCAAGGTAGTGGGCGTCTCAAGGATCTTGGTTCTCAGAGGCAGCAGCCCCCTGGCACCTGCCTGAGCTAGAACACAAAGACTTCTCCAGAGACCATCTTCATCCAAGGCAAGGACGTGGCTCTTGGTGCCCACTCAAGGCCTCTGGGCCATCATTGCCTGCGAGCTTGCCAGCTTCCCAGCCCAGGGAGCATTCTAACATTTGTCCCACTGTATAGATGAAGAAAATGAGGTTTTTGGCAGGAAGCAGTGATCTACCCAGGATATCACAGGACTGTGAGGAAACATTTGATCCTTTTAGGCTGGAGGATTGGGGCAGTCCCACTGGCACCAGGCTAGGCTCCTGTGAGTAGGAAGTTGAGAGGAGAGCGACATGGGCTTCTTCCTCACCTTGCCACCTGGGAGGCCACCTGTGCATTGTCCCTCCTTACAGAGGATGGGGTATCAGGCCGTTCCAGGTAGGGACATGGACCATCCAGACCCCAAGCAGACCCTTCTCGGTAGCTGTGCCTGCTGCTGGGATTGGGAGACCCCACAGAAGCAGCGTTGCTGAGAGATGCAGAGGGTTAGAGAGGGTGTGAGACCCGTTTCCAGGCTGGGCATGTCTCAGGAGGAGAGGGCTGGGGCCCACAGCCTCATGGCCTTGGTCACCCGGCCATGGTGACTGTGTAGAAATACTGGCCAGGGCCACAGATTGTAGCCATCCCTGTTCTGGGCATGGGAAGCCATGCTGTACTCTCTCTGGGGCCCAGTAATCCTAGCAGCTTCCCCAAGGGTGCACCTGAGCCTGGAGTCCTAGGCTGGCCTGGGGCAAACCCAGCTGTCCCCTGATCCAAGCCCCCCTGCTAGCTCTGTGGGCCCTGCTCCTGGGAGCTTCTCTGTGGCTCAGCTCAACTCTGTCTCCCTGTCTAGCCTTATCTTGGAAAGGGAACTTGCTCAAGCCAGAAACCAAGAAGTCATTCTGGATAGCTCCCAACATCTCCCTGCTCAGTCTTCCAGCACAGGCTGGATCTGCCTGGACTTCTTCCACAGATGCTAGTGCCCCACTGTAACCTTCCTTTCTCTCTCCCTCTCTCTGGACTACACAGCTCGCTCCTGAGGGCTCCTGGCCTTCTTGTCCAGGCCTCCACACAGTCACCAGAGTGACTGCTATTTGAAACTGGCTTTCACGTGTCTCATGGCCCCACCCACCTAGTTGGGCTCCCCTCTCTCATTCCTGGGCACCTCTCTCAGTCCCTTTGTAGGTTTTCTTACCTACTGACTACTACCTCTGCTGAAGGATCTTAAGGAGTCTGTCTTGTTGGCCAGGCGGTGCCCAGGGCCGTAACTAGTGTTGATAGTTAAGTATTTGAGACTAATGCAGAGTGCATGAACCTGCCCTGGGAGTTTGGAAGCCCAGTTTCAGCCTAGATGACCTCCAACCTCTTGGAGCTCCAGCCCTCTCTAAATCCTCCAGCTGTACTTGAACTGCCTGGCTATGTGGGCCCTGTGTCTCTCTCACCCAGGGCCTTGTTTTGACTGTGCTCATAGTACTGGGCTTCAGATAAGTCTAGCTGCCAGGCATGGTGGTGCGCACCTGTAATCCCAGCACTTAGGAGGCTGAGGCAGGAGGATCTGCTACTTTGCGGCGAGCCTGGGCTACATAGTGAGTGCAGTCCAGTGTGAACTATATGGAGAGACCCTGTCAAAACAAAAGAAAGGAAGAAAGCAAAAATGGGTCTAGATTTCTTTCCAAAACAGGACCCATAAGAAGAGGCTGGCTGGAGCCTAGAGAAAGGCAAGACCTAGCCTCAAGTAGGCTGCGTGCATCCTGTCTCCATGGCCGCTGCAACCTCGAGCCACCCAGCAGGAAACTCCCCTTCCCAGCAGGATCTAGGAGCCTAGACAGTAAGCACCTGGCTTGCACAAAGTGTTGCTCAACGCAGTCCTTGATTTCCAGCCTGATGTTGCCCAAGGTGCTGCACACTTAGCCCCTGCTAATGCCGCCTGGGACCAGCTGGAGCGCTGTGGAGCTAGTGGCCTAGAGGAGTAAGATGTAGGTTAGAAGGGTAGATGACAGCAGCCCAGAGAGGCCTGCAGGGTCCCCTGCCTGCTGCGGGGATGGGCTTCGTGGTCCTCAGATGTTCCCAGTGGCACTCTCTGGGCCACACAGTGGTCAGGCATTTAAACTAGTGCACGCGTCCGACGTGTGGCCGATTTGTGGCAGTACATGTTGGTTCCTCTGGGGCTTCCTCACCGCCGTGTAGAGTGTCACTGTGTAGTGCTCCAAGGTGACGACACATTTCATTTACTCTTCCCTAGCCCTACACAGGCCATTTGAGTTGTTCCCAGCCCTCTGCCACGTTCGGTGCTGCTGCAGGGCGAGCACCTGCATGTAACCTTGCCCACTCTTACAAACCTGGGAGAGATCTGCTTCCTTCCCTTTCACATGCAGCCCCAGTAAATCTCAGATGATCCTGGTCTGGGCTGGGTAGAGATAACTGGGGGTGGGGCGGTCTGAGCCAGGGGTTGGGTAGCCTGTGGGGGGACTAGATTGGATGAAGCAGGTGAGATCTGGCCTCGGCTGGGTATGGTGGGAAATAGGGAGCCATAGAAGGGTTTGGAGCAGGGAAGTGAACTCATGACCCCATCCTATTTTTTGAATTGCAAAGGGTTTCCTTGCCTCCGTGAGCCAACCTCACTCACCTGCCCTGTTCAGTGGAGAGTTCCCCTGCTATAAGGAGGCCTTGTTGGGGTGCCAGGACAGGGAGGTAACTAAGCCTGAGAACTGAAGGGGTAGCAGGTGCCTGTCTCCCACAATGGAGCAGTTAGGCTGTTGGCTTGGAGCCGACCTCCATGCAGACACCTTGGCACCTGCACTAGCTACTAGAGAGGTTGGATTGTTCCGGGTGCAGGTGAACCATCCCCTGAGGAATATGGCCCCCTAAAAACTCAGCTGTTGAGCCTCCTTCCCTTCGTTCCCCACCCTGCCCAGGAAGCCAGCCTGAGTGACTGGGCAGCTCAAGCCCTGAGAATTGCTCTGTGGCGGGACAGTTTTGTCCTTTCTTTTCCTTCCCATAGGTGAGGCATGCAGACACTCAGGCCCTTTGGGAGGGGTTAGGGAGAAGCCAGGACCCCAGGGATAAGGAGGCCCTGCCAGCTACTGAGACCATCACTTCAGGTGACAGGAAGTAACAGATGATTCAGAGTCTTGGACTTCTAAAATCTTGGCTCTCTGGGTCCAAATAGGGGTTTTGGGGTTGGCAAGTGCATTCCAAAAACCACAATACCCGTACCCTACTTTTTTTAATGGCCCAAAAGCTAAGAATGGTCTTGATATGAGTACATTTAAATTTTTAAAAATACACATATATGAATTTTACCATTTAAAGTTATAGCTCAGTGACATTAAACACTTTTATGATGTTTCATAACCATCACCATTACTCATCTTCAGAACATTTTTGTTTGTTTGTTTTGTTTTGCTTTGTGTTTTTGGTACCAGGGATTGAACATGGGACCTTGTTCTTGCAAGGCAGGCAGAAAAACCACTGAGCTAAATCCCCAGCCCTCTCAGAATACTTTTTTATCTTGCAAAGCTGAAATCCAATATCCTTTAAGCACCTAATTCCCTGCGCCCTTGCCTCCAGCCATGGGAAATCCCATGCAGCTTGCTATCTGTGAATTTGACTACTCTAGGAACCACACATAAGTAGAATCAGGCATTATTTGTC